TGTGTGTGTGTGTGTGTGTGTGTGTGTGTGTGTGTGTGTGTGTGTGTGTGTGTGTGTGTGCGCTCGCTCGCTCCAGTAGTACTGTCCTTTTGAGGGTCTTTATCGTCAGAACGCCTATGGTTACATTTGTCGTTTCTGTGCTGTTTTCCTCATTGGATCACACTAGGACACATTGACTGGCACCAAGTCAGTTTTCATTTGCATTGTAATGCAGTGAGCCAGACTGCATCCCAACATAGCAGAGCTCACTTTGTGACAGGAATTCCTCCTAGTCTGGACACAGTCCTACAATGTACGAGTGACCAATGGCAACAGTGCATCAACAGCAAAACAAATACTGGACATCTTAAAAATGTAATGCAGAGAAATAACACACTGTCAGACCAAGACATCTAAGGGATGTCACAATCACACCATCATGTTAATAGTTTTTAAAACATGAATGAACTACAAAAAAGTTGGCACATTTTCTCTGTAAATATACAAATGATTTGTTTTAAAGTCTGGCATTAGAGTCAGGGTGATGATGTTGTGTTGAAAGAGGTATTTCAGGGCAGTGGATGAAGGCAACACATTGGTTATGTTAACAAGATGAACTATGTGTTATACAGTACATATGCACAATAAACTTCTTTTGGGACAATAAACACTAAAACCAGTTTACAATTACTCAGGAAATCTCCAGTCATTCCTGTCCTAAGATGGCAAGCTTACCGTGGCTTGAAAACAGTTTGCTTGGTCATTTTTATTTTTGTTCTGTATGTCATACATGTCATAATCAGATGTGTTCTTTTTGCAGGCATTATAACCAGCTATGGTCTCTGGCTGGATGGAGTGCTCATTTTAAACTCCACTTCCTCCCTGAGGTTCTTTGTGGCGGAGGGACTTTCTCCATGGAGCCGACACGTCCTCCGGCTGCAGGCCTGTACAGCACGAGGCTGTGGCAAAGGACCAGCGGTCAGTTAACTTCTTACTTGTAAACCCACAAATGTATTTATTGATTGATAAACTGCAAGATCCTGTGTCATATCTTTGAAGATAGGCAAACTTTATAAGTCATTGCTGTAGGGTTTCTGCATTTGGATGAATCATATCCGTAGGTAAAACATAACAGACAGTAAACCAGATATTTCTATGATGTAGATTATTGCTGTAACTAACCAACACACAAAGCCATGGGAACACATATGAGAATGCCTACTCAGACATTTTCAAGTGTGCGCGTGTGTGTGCATGTTGTGTCACTGAGTGTCATAAAGGTGATCGATTCTCTCAGCTCAATAACGAGGTTGGCGTGGCAACAGTGACATTTGGTAGCAAATGCCACTCCACACTCAACGATGTCTCTGACGACAGGCCATATTTTGGGGCATTTTTCCAATACGGACGCCATATTTAGTGAAACACCAGCAGAACAGCTGACACAGCAGAACAGGAGGACAGGAAGGGGGGAAGTGGGTGGGGGGGGTAAGAACAGGATAAAGAGGAGTAGATGACAGGATGGATGGGAGAAGAAAGGAGGGAGTTTAGGGATAAAAGAGTAAAATGATGAGGATAGAGTAAATGGTCAGAGCCATGTGAGAGATGAGGTGGCAAGTGAGGATGCAAAGGGCAGCAGAGGGGAGAGTGACAGGAGCGTCAGACAGGAGGAAATGAGACAGAAGAAAGAAGCGGGGTGATGGTGGAAAAAGAGAAGGAGCAGTGTGAGGGGAGTGAGTGAAAGATATGGAGGTATGTGGCAGGAGAGAGGGAGAGAGAGAGGGAGAGAGAGGGAGAAAGGAATAAAAAAAGATAGAAAACTTGAAGCAGAAGTAATTTGGACCAGATGTGTAGAGTGGTTTACTTTTACACTTATATTTTAACACACATTTTAATCCACTCAGTCAAATATTTCAGAATGATTTTGATATGTTTATTTTTTAATATTCTATACCAGTTCGATGGATGAGAGTGAGTAGAATTATAGTAAAAAGGATTAAAGTTCTGGAGAACATGCTTTTGTGTCTTTTTCCTTTAAATCAGGTGGAGATGCGTACATTACAGATGACCCCAGAGGGCCCTATACTGTTGGAACTGACCAATCAGAGCTCTCGATCACTCCGAGCCCGCTGGACAGCCCCTCCTAGACCGAATGGGAACCTCAGCTACACACTGTACTACAAAAGCAAAGGTAACACATACAGCCATGCTCGCTCTCTCTCTCTGTTCCTTCAAAACAACAATGGCGGCTCCCGAAGAGGTAAGCGATGGACTAAAGAACTAAAGAGTATCATTGAGAGAAGAGCAAATAACGACCCTAGCCGACATTGGGCGAAGGCAGGTTGCCAGGCTGTCACAGGGCTGTCACATAGAGAGAGACAAACCTGCAGCAGGTTTAGACAGGCCCGGATCAAACCACGGCTTGACTAAACCTGCTGCATTTTCTATGTGGCTTCACTACAAATCCAACTCTACATTATACACATTGATGTTAAGTTTATCAGAATTATCAGATAAGATTAAGGAGTTTTGTAAGACACCATACCATGTAATTTTTCAAACCTCAATAACTAAGCTAAAAAGGTGTGTCTTGACATTTGTCTTGTTGGTAGAATGTAATTATCTCAGGTCAGGCTGTCCTGGAGGAAAAGTGGACATAGAAAATAGAAGTGGACAGTAAAAGCTGCTTCTCTGTAGGTCTCACTCATACAGGTCAGTGCTGTCAAAGCATCAAGAAAAGTTAACGCTAGTCCATCAAAGACCAGGATTAGGAATCTGTCAAGTTTGTTTTAACTAAACAGGCAGCAAATGAACAGACATTACTATCTCAATTCAGATCACAATCAAAATATACACATTAAGTAAAGTAAGGTTGTTTTTTTTAAAGATGAGCGGAACAGAACAATATGTGTGGAGATACACACATGTGTACCCTTACACACACAGACACACACACAAACTCCTCACCAACATGCAAACTTAGACTGAAAGTCAAGCCTGAAATGGGGAAGTGAAAGACGGAGTAATCAAACCAGAGTGGTGTAGAAAAGATGAGGTTTGTTTTATACTGCTGGTGACTTGAGAAAGGAAGTGATGTAGGATTCCAGAGCAAAACAGTGGTGTGAAGATGGATGGAAGAACAAAGACAAGCATTGGTAAACAATAGTATACAGCTAGAGGAGAGATGAGAAGCTCATATTTCCATAGATGTATTAGAAAAGATTGCAAGTAAAAACAACATGAGGAGCAACAAAACAGCGGATGAGAACTGGACATGGAAAGAAAAGGGGAAGAAGAAAATTGAACAAGATGAGAACAGGAGCACGGGGAAACAGCAGAACACACAATTATCCTTAAACCCACACGTATTCACCAAGTCTCTTTCTCTCTCTCTGTCACACACACACACGCACATACACACACTGATAGAGTCAGGGACTTTGATCTGCTCCTCACAGAGGAAGAGACGGATTACAATGAGTGGAGAGAAGGGTGAAAGAGGTGTGGAAGAAAGAGAGAGATGGTGTTTCGCTCTAGTTACCCACAACCCCTTGATTCTTTGATACACACTGCCTTCATCAGTTCCCACAAAACTGATATGCGTTTGTGTGTGCGGGTGTGTGTCCATCTAAATATATTGGATAGCCTTACATATTGTAATTTTCTGATCCTTTTTCTTTGACTATCCTTGCATAACCTCGATATGGAGAACCTCTCTCTTTTGATCACTCTCAGTCAGTATTCCCCTCTCTTGAACTCTCACTCATTCTGTTTCTCCTCTGTTGTTGAATTATCTTTTATGTGTCGTCTTTTTTCAGCTGTCACAGTTCTGACTCTAATCAATGACTGTGCCACGAAAACAATCGAATGTGCAAGATAATAAAGTCTTCCTCCTCACTTGTTAAATACACCGTGCTTGGCCTAAGACCTTACATGTCTCTCTTTGTGTGACTCTCTCTCTCTCTCTGTCTCCTAGAGGGTGACGGTGTGTTGGATGGAAGTATAGCAGCTGGAAGCTGGTTGTCTGTGACTGACCTACAGCCTTACACCAACTACATCTTCTGGATCAGAGGCTGTAACAAACAAGGTTGTGTTGAGAGCCTGCCTCTCAATGTTACTACGCCCCCAGCAGGTACACATACACAAACACACAGTAAAGGTTCTCCTCCTATCATCAGACTACACCTTACAAACCTGATTTCCATTAGAAATCTAAATCTTCACCCACACTCTGCAGATACATACTTGTGAAATAACTGTAGTACGTCACTACGTTCATGTCTTCTATTATTATAAGGCGCTTTTGGCCTCCACTAAATTGTGTATGATCTGATTTAAATGGCTGTAATTGTCGCTTTTTTTCTACATAAGCCATAAACTATTGTAACATCGTTATCTCATTACTCTGATTTTAATTGCTGTTCTTATGAACTGGAAAAGTTCTGTTTTATAGCTTGCTAGGCAAAAGAAAAAAAAACCAAAACAATTATTCAGTGAGTAGCAGTGATAAACACAGAGACACACACACACACACACATCATTGACTTCACTTAATGGTCTGAACACATATTTCTAATTTACACAGCGTTTGTTGGTGTGTTTGTGGATGGGTGTTTGTAATTGTGTAGAATGGAGGCTGGTTGTGCATACTGATAAATGTCAAAGCTGATCAGAGCAGTCTGAAGATGACGGTAACCAGGCACCAACACACACCCCTATAGACACACAATTTACCACTTTAGCTAATATCAACAAAAGTGTTAAATCCACGCACACACACCCCACTCTTGTCTCAGTCAGAGAACAACAAAAGATTGACTTCGGAAAGTTTTACTGTTCAAGTTCAAAACAAAGGCATAAGAAAGTATAAATTTTAAATACCAGACGTTTCCTCTCTTTCTATCTCTCTTTCTACCTCTGTGCCTCTGGCATCTCTTTAGACTTCTTTAAGGCAAACTGTCTTGATGCGTCCTTGTTCTATGAAAGAACAGAGAGAAGATAGTTGAGCAAGAGACAGAAGAGCAGAGGAGGAAGAGAGCAGAGAGAGAGAAGTGAACATAAAAGTGCATAGTTTAAAACGATTAGTGACACCTCTGATATTGTACCTGCTAACACAGCATGAGAGAGACACAGGCTCACCAAAGGTGTGCGTCTTGTGTTATGTGCGCGCGTGTGTGTGTGTGTGTGTGTGTGTGTGTGTCAGAGGCAGAAATCTAGTGTTTCAAGAATTGCACACACATACACACTCAGGGAATGACCATTTTGTTGATCTAGTGTAGGATCCTCTATATTAATAAGTAGAAACCAGTGATGGCATCAAAAAGATTTAATGATAAAAATTAAATTATTACAGTTAATTGTTTCTTTTGTTTTTGCGTTTTGGTTGTCCAAGATAAATTTTTGGTGAACCACCAAAAATATTATTCTGAACCTGTATCCAGTATCAAAGAGTGTTTTTTGGCTTTTTTCATATACTGCGTGTGTGTGTGTTTGTAAAAGCCGTCTGTAGGATAAGATGTCTTCAGCAATCAGTCTTGTTGTAGTGGAAAGAGAGCAGTGTGTTTGATTGAAGGGTCACTTTATACATCGGAGGACCTACTCTTATTTCGCATAGTCAACACTACAGTCACTCTCATTTTCTCCTTCTATTTGTTGTCCTTATCTCTTTCCTATCCTGTCTTTCCTCACATCTTCTCTGTTTCTGTTAAGAGCACGGCTATCATACTGAATCAAGATGTTTTTACTGATTTTCCGACACTAACACTATGCTATCATGCTCAGCTGGAAAAGAGGGGCACTGTTGAGAGAGCGGGGTCATATTGCTCTGTGTGTGTGTCTGTGTGTGTGTGTGTGAGAGAGAGACGTTGTAGTGGTTGTATATCTGTAAATCTTGCGGCTCTCTGTTGCACTCCCAGCCTCCTTCACAAAGAATATTTTCTCCTTTTGCTGTTATGTTTTTTTTCTTCTTTTGTTCTGTCCTTCTCTCTCCTCACTCCTGTCTCCTCTTTCCTCAATAAACTTGTGTCATTCATTGAGGGTGCAGTTGATCAATGAGATCAGTGAGTGACATTGATGTAACTTTTATAATCTACTTTTTCTCTTGGTCTTTTTTCTTGCTCTCTTTTTTTGTTTTACTCAACTGTCCTCATTCCATCCCTCCATCTATTTTTTGCCACCTCCATCCTTCCTTCATCACCTGCTCCGTCTTCTTCTCACCATCTTGTCTCTCTCTTTTCATAGCCCCAGATGGGTTGTCACCTCCGAGGTTGGCTCATAGAACTAGTGCCAGTCTGAATGTATCCTGGTCCGCCCCTGCTCACTCCAACGCACCAGGCCCACTCCGTTACAGCCTGCAAATGAGGACATCCCCTCAGAGGCCTGTGATAAGGTGAGATGGAGATTTAGATTATTTTATTTTTAGATTCAAAAAAATGCACGGACACAGTAGATAATCAAGTGGACAAGTTTTTACACAGTTGTCCAGAGCACATGCAAGTGGTCTGAGACAGTCATGATGATAACCAGCATTAAGAGAAAGACAGACCCATACAACGCACTCAGATACGTATCACAGTATATATACTGTACGCACCTTAAAAATGTGTACACACATATGCATACACATGTAGACATAATAGGGTACATTATACAGCAAAGCTGAATATGTCACATCAATATGACAGACCATCAGAAAAACAGAGAGGAAATGAGCTGGAGAGACGGGGGAGTCAAAAAGACAAAAAAATCAAAGAGCACAGCAAAGAGAGAGACAAAGGTAGGGAAATTGTAATAGAATAAAGAGAGAGAGAGAGAGAGAGAGAGAGAGAGAGAGAGAGAGAGAGAGA